GGAGGCTACATCTTCATACCGAACACAGTTCCTGAAGGCCAGACTCCCATTTGCTTTTGAACTGTGCCCACACTATCAAGCCTTGTAGCCAGGTAACTGGCAAGTGGTTTTTATTACCTTTTTTGGAGATGTCCAGTAAGGCCTCAGTGGTAGCAAGCAGCAGACACCAGACCTCATCCTCATCCAGAGGTGAATCCCGGGCCTCCACCACTTCTGCCAGCGTCACAAACATACACATCCTGCTGGAACACACACAACATAGACATTTATTATGTGAAAAAGAGTAGATGTTTCTGTTTTTGCAGTATCAGAAATTTATATTCTGGTGAAAATTGAAGGAGTTTCAGCCAGTAAGGAAAACTATTACACCTAAGTATCTGCTTTCTCAGTTACTTCATGCAGTTTTTCAGTGAAGGGACGCAAATAGGAGGAAACGTGATCCAGTGTACTATAATATTTCTACATTATAGAACTCATTCAACTCCTCAAAATTCTGTCCCTGTTTTATTTTCGGGGGTGACACTGAGACTTTATGTATGTTAAAGGACAATTACAGCTTCTCTTTAACCCAGACTATTTGCTATAAAGAAACAATATGAGTTGTGTAGGTGCATTTATGTGTATCACCATAAAAAGGAGAGGGTCATTAGCAAGACTGTCCTCCTGGGCTAGAATCCGACCTTAGAAATGCATCAGACACAAGCTAGCAAACATTTAGAGGTCAGTGTTTCAGGCTGACAAGTTTAGGGATTAGTGGAATTAGTTTATTCGTTTTGACAGTCAGATTAATGTGGTGCGGTAGCTTCCAGGAAGGATCTTATTTTAATTATCTTATTCCCTGCTTTATCAAAGGATAAGAAGAGAAAAATGGAGGAATGTAGTTGGTGTTAACTGCTTTTGCGGTGCCAGTTTTACCTGTTTAATTCACTTTATTCTTCTCTACTGCTGTTAAGAAAGTCTATAGAAACACTTCTTTGTATCCATCTCATTCTTTGTCCTCTCTTGACACTTGAACAGAATTATAACTCCAACAGAAACCAGACTTGCCACTGTAACTTGTTACTTTGCCAAGTAAGAGTTTTGTTATCAAGTTGTACTGTATGTGCTCTGACATAATTCAGCCAAGATAATCTCAGTTCTGGTGTCCACATAGTAGCGAGTTGGGGATGCTAGGTAAATTGCAAATACCAAAAAATACCCAAAGATTATAAGAACCATGTTAAAAATGTATATAAGGTATTTCCCCCAGCAGATAACGAAATGTCATTGCATTACTAGTATTTTTAGTGTTACTGACCAGGTATAAATGTTTGTATTCCATTTCCTTCAGAGCATGTGACAATTATTTAATTGTAAAACATGTTGAAATATTTCCTGCAAACTAACCACTATATGAATTCCAGAGGTAAACTGAGTTGTTACAGCAGTTGAACAAAATAAATAAAGAACAAAAAGGTCAAAGAGTCATCCATGAGTCTGCAAACACATATTTTTTGGCCTACAGGTAGTTTGATGAGTAACTAAAGGCATTACAACTTGGTTTCTGCACATTTTGTGCCCTACCTTCTTACATATGGTATCGTAAGAGATTCTTCTTAGGTTCCTTCAGGCATCGGCCACTCTAATCCTTCCTCTTATGCTTCCCCTGCTGCCATTGCACCCACCACTCCCTGGTGCGATGGCTTCTGTCTGTCATGGCAGCTTTTTACACACTGTCATTTCTTCACAACAGATCAGTCCTTGCCAGAGAAAGGACACATTAGCTCCATAACAAAACTCCCTGTGCCCACAACTACTGACGTGGTGTTTCTGCATTTTTTAATCATTTGGAACTATTTTTAGACTGAGGAGCATAAGAACATAATTGGATTTGCAGGGCAAGCTCACAGCTGATGGGGCAGCATAGGACCAATCCATTACAGGCAGCACTGTTAATTATAATGTTTCACTCACAAGTGAGACTTGTCACACTTTCTATTAGTGCCTTACATAGATCAGTACACAATTGACTAGCTAATGCAAATGGCTCGCTACAAATTACCTTTCTGCCAGCTTCAGTGTTGGGAAACACATGTACATTTTTCTAATTTGAAATAAGAGTAACCATAATATTATGCATTTAACAATGCACAGATGTAATAGTAAAAAAGTATATGCTGTTAAACCTCAAATAGAATTATGTGTGAATGGTAAAATTACTATTTTGAAAAACGGATCTTGACATAATATAACACCTGTGTGTTCCTAAGTTGTATGACTCAGGTCATACAGACGATATAACGAAGCCCTGTTGTTGTATAATGTAAACTAGTAATACATCATCTTTTATCGACTCTTTTAATGAACATTTTCAGTTTAAAAACATGCAAAGTAACAAGTATAGATGCCAGATATGCAAAATAGAGTAAAATGTGACATTTGACCTCAGAAAAGTAACTGTGAAATTGTTTATAAAGTCTTACAACTTGACATTCTCAAAAGCTATACTATTGATGATCTTGAGGTGCAATTCCTGCATTTTTGCAGTTTTGTGTGCAAACTAGGTGCCATTTATTTGCAATGTAATAATTTTTGTCCACATACTTATCTTGTAGGACATGTTTATTTACTTCTCTATCCTCAGAGACACCATCAAAAGAAGTCAGGTAAGTTAGCCCACCACATCTATACCTCTGTACTGTATAGCTCAAGGAATAATTAAGACACTGTTCTGTGGAACAACATTTCAAGATTGTCATCGGTGTGTGAATGTTGTGTGTTGTGGAACAACATTTCAATATTATCATCAGTGTGTGAATGTTGTGTGTGAATGGGTGAATAGTGTATAATCTCCCTGTAAAGCGCTTTGGCCAGTGCAACACACTGTGAGAAAGCACTATATAAAATACAGTCCATTTACAGTCCATACCTACATGTGATCTTGTGCCAGCAACATTTTATGGGTCAAATTGAACATCTTTGACAAAAGAAACATAGTGAAGTATTACAGTAGTCTATAAAGTAGCATAAACTATGGAAATAGTCAAGTGAGGTATCTGCTTGTGCAAATGAGCACTGTGAATAAAGAGCAGTCTGACATTTCAGTGGTTACTGTATTAACAAGTATGATGAATTTCACAGTTATGTCTCAAAGGAGAAGTTACTACAGAGAGATTTTGTTATGTGTACTTTCTAACAGTTTAAACAAAAACTTAATGCTAAAACATTAATTAGGGTAGAATTTACTACAAGACTGATGTAAGTTGTATTTGTTGTGGCTAGTTGTACCAAATGAGCTATACCAAATAAAACTGGGAACTTAAATTTAGCACTCTAATTTTATATGTTATATGACACATTAGCTAACCTATAACTTATTGATATTAATATATAACAATTAGAGTGCCCAGTTTTATGTTGGTTTCTATAAATATTACACATTTATAACATTTGTATGCATGTATAATGTGTACATTATTCATTGAAAATACACCTATATATATTGTTAAAATAGCAGTATATTCCTAGTATGCGGTGCCATTTTAAAATGTTGCGAAACCGTAACTTCCGCTTTCTCGAGCGTCTCCCGGGAACGCGCAAGCGGTCTTGAACGTCCCCTTGGTCCTCGTTGCGCTGCTGAGGAAATAACGCACGGTTTAGACGACGTCGGTATGAAATGGCAGAAAGTGTTTGTGCTTGTGTCACGGAAGCACAAAGATTAGGTTACGCTGAAGCCAGCGTTACACATGTATGTTGCGGTGATCCCGGCCTGCTAGTTTGAGGGAAACGGGGGTGTATCCGGAGGGGTAAGAGCTGTTTTTCTCCAAAAACTGTCCCAGTTGTGTCTCCAGCAGACAACGAACGGCGACTGCGGTTCGACACTGTCGGAATTAACCGGACAGGGGGTGAGTTTGAAATATGGATTTCTCTCCCTGATAGACGTGTTTGACTTGTCAACCGCCGGGGGGTGGGAACAAGCAGATTTGGGTGACACGTTACTGTGAATATGTGTTACTATAACATACATGGTGACCAGTAGGCTGGACAGGTCTGGCCTAACTGGTAAAGAGCAACCAGACTGAGTGGCTGCACTGGGGAAACGCACCACTGTAACCTGTATCAGTGCTACACACATTAGCACAGCTCGCACTGTAAACCGTGAACCGGGCGATGTTACCTGTTGGTAGATGTCACTAGTCAGTGAACTAGTAGGAGGCTCTGAAAACGCTGTGACCTCCAGTCTGCGCTCGCCGAAGGGCAGTATCCTCCGTGTAAACACAAATCAGTATCGACGCCTTTGAACACACGCTGCCTTTTGCTTACATTTACTGCGGTGAAATGATGAGGCATTTGACTACGGGCAAGGCAGCAATCTTTCGGTTAATGCGGTTTTTATGTGATTTAAGCCGATGCTACTGCTTCAGACTTAAAGGTGTGATGTGAATACCTTTACTTGGCAATTGCATAATGTTGCAGTTTGGTTTATCTTGTCGCAGTGATCAATGAACAGGTAACAGTCTTTGCATCTATAATGATGGAAGACAGCTTATGCTTTTTTTGTAGCCATCTTGTTATCAGTGATATTAATAACTTAGTGTGGTTTATCAAATTTGTAAGGGTGGGTTAACCTGGGTATTGTCTCAGTCTGCAGTTATACTGGCTATCTAATACGTCCCTGTAGTCATATCTGCACTGTACATTGCTTGGAAGACTTTCTAAACAACCTGCCAAGAGAACAGCAGTGGTCAGCCAAAAGGATCAAGACATCTGATTCCTGCACCAAAAGCAAAAGGTGGCCTGCTGGGATTATAAGTCCTGGCTACCACATTATGAGCCCTCATTCATATCCGGAGGGCCTGTTGGTTGATAATGATAGATTTTGGGGTGTATTGATGTTGAATATTTCATGTAATATTTTATATCACTTTCATTTTTCTCAGTGGTTGCCCCACAGTGCCACCGTAGTAAAGGTGAACGGATTGTGTGACTCGTTGCATCCAAACTCTCTTAACAGGTCAGTGTATAGTATCCACAGGTATAAGCCATGATTCAACTTGGTAGGTGGAGTCATTACTTGCTCTAATAACAGGCTACACTCCTGCATGTGTTGGTTGCCCTGCTCTAACCTGGCAACTGAGACCACCCATGACAGAAACATCCAAAACACAATGCCACAGTTTAAACAGTCATGAGTGAAGGCAAAGATAGTTTCCTTGAGAATGAATCACCACTGTCATGTCGAACCACACCTGTGGATCACATTCTTAGTCCCTCCTGAAAGATGCAATGTTTCATTTGTTGTGTTTTGCATTTTGCACAGATATATTTTGACACAGTTATCTGTTTTTGCTGTCTGGCTGTCAGAGACATTTGCCTATAGCTGGTTTTATAGTGGAGGGCATAGGCAGTGCCAGATGTAGTTAGTGAACATCTGTGGTGCAGCTGTAACTGTGGTTCCTCGGTATCTACATGTACGTATATGGGTTTTGCCATCATAGGAACCTACTGAAACGTGTCAAGCCGAGTAACACTCATCATGGGTTCTACGTTTGAAATGCAAATATGTGCGGTGTATCCAACCCATGATAAAACACAGCAAATAAATACTATATACACTTCAAAAAGAACTGCTTGTCCAGTAGGAGTGATTTAACAGTTTCTGTTGCCTGTTGCACCTGTTTGCATTTGGAGAAATTTGTCCTGTACCCTGGAGCACTATGCAGTATATCCGTACATCCACATGATTCTTGTGAACATGACATCTCAGTAATGCCTTAAGGGAATTTCTTCAAATTTGGCACAGATGTCCACTTAGTAGGGGTGTGACAAGATTTCATGCCATGAGATCTTGCGATGTTGAAATGTGACGATATTTCTTGTTGAGGTAAAAGCTGTCTCACGATATCAGTAGTCTGGGAAAAACGCAGCTCTCTGCAGTGTTTTAACATATGGGGCTGTGTTGGTCGGTGGGTGAGGGGTTGCAGAGGGAGTGTTGTAGGCTTGTACATTACGGCCATGTTGTGATGAGTCAATGTGAGTGGTTTCGTTCACGTTTTCATCCTGCGTTTTCTTTAGCCATGCTGCTAACATAGCCTACTCTACTTTGGCACCAATTCTGCCACCAGTGTGTTGATGGTATGCAGATTAAAAAACACCTTTTAACATCTGGTACTAATGAAAATGCATGGTGTGTCATTATGGTGCGTTAACTGTGGCCCAGATTCGACAGTGAGTAGCAGCGAATGCTCATGCTAACAAGATAAACAAAAGGTTCTTCTTCCCTTGGGTGTTCCAGTGGTCCCCTGTACATGATTGGTGAATGTAGTGCCTTTGTTGGATGATATCACTGTCCAGTGAGGGTGAAGATAGCACAGAAGGTCGCACACAGCTTCAGTTAGAAGTTAGAAACTCATGCACACCCATAAGGTCTGAAGAGCCTCATGTGAAATCATACAGGAGAGAAGCCAGTTAGTTGAGTTTGTGTCAAAGCCTTTTACAGTGCTTGTATATAGTCTTTTACTGCATATGATAATTCATACTCAAAGTAGAACTGAAGTGACATTCACTACAAGATGAAGAGTTAAAACATTTCACAATGCACCTGCAGTGTTTTGCATTTTGTGACCTTCAGTTGAGTGAAAGTTTTTCCAGTCACACATTTTGTCATTGAAAAGTTCTTAAAAATAATATTAAATTACCCAGAATCCTCTTGTCTTGTGAGCTAAGTGCATCAATACCCTCCTACCAATTAGTCTCAAGGATGAACTGATTATATTTTGTTGGTCAAAGGTCAAGGTCAGTGACCTCACTTCTGTCCCATACCTGTGGGTTTCACTGGTTGGTGGAGGCATACAACCATGAAGCGGGTGAAAGAAAGGTGGAACATTATTATAGTTCCATTTATCATTAAAGAAAAGATGCAAAAGTATTTGTGTATGCTGTCAATTGCAGTTCTTAGAAAGAGAGAAAATCAGAACGGTCAGGTCAGACTTTAAAAAAATCAAAACCATCCAAGAAAGTGCAGTTGCTGCATCTCTAGTAAATAATTTTACCATCTCTCAGGAGATGGTACCGATTAAGTTCCAGGAACCTATGAGGGGAGCGGGTGGGTGCTCACAGGGCTTGCGCCCATGACTGGTTAAACAACAGTGGCATCATGTCTCAGCTACTGGCATAATGCCTTTTTAAGTTCATGTGGTGGAAAACACACGTATGATTCTCTGCCTCCTAACAGTTGTGAAAATGGGGCTGAGCAATATGACAGTGTGTCAGGCTGTCTGTCCCATTTTCACATGCAGCCACAGATCCTCCAGTATCACACCTGATGTATGCTGCTCTGTGTTCACAAGGGAGAGAACATTATGCCACGTTGCCAGCTGAAGCCTAACACCAATTTAGACATAATCTGCAGTGTTTTGATAGAATTACATGTACTTGGTACAGCCTGTTTAGAAGTGCTCACATTTCTGGTATCTTTGCAGACAGATACCAAATTAAGTTGACATTATATGGATGGTAGATTGGGCTAATGACTCTGAACAGAGTATTTAGATCATTTTCTGTGAGGTGTCCGTGCCTAACAGCAAGCTTGAGTTTATAAAACCTGATGTTTAGTAAACTTTTACCGATTAATCAATTATTGTTTGGTTTATAAAATGTAAGGAAATAGACAAATATTTGTCCTATTTGGTTTGACCAACTCAATTGAATGACTAATTGTTACAGCATTGTTGTTTAAATACATATCTGGCACACTGAAATAACAGCTTGTAGCCTAATGACTTTGGCAAACATTATTTTTCACTAGTGACTTAATCCAAATACTTACAATTCTGATTCAAAACAGATTCAGCTGCAGTTAATGATACTGTATATGAATGAACATTTATCTTGGAGGTTTATGCTCCTCAAACTGATGTGCCATGGTCAGTTGGAGCTACAGATACAAATTTAACAGGGCTGTGACCTAGCGAAGGGTCTTCCCTCACAAATGACCTTTGGCTAAGTATAGACATTAGGTGGAGACAGCGCTTTAACTAGACAACAGCTAAGTTTACTTCTGTCCAGCCATTACATACTAACTGAAATCATTAGTGACAGCTGATATGATCTACTGTCGGTTGTCATTTTCACCAGTGAAAGTGATGGTCAGCCAGGAAGCTCCTGGCTGGCTGTTTTGTACACTTCTTCTTATCGTTAGGTTTGTTCTTGTCTTGTGTTTTTTCCAACGACACGTCAGGATTCAGTGCCGCTCACTGGTACACCCAAATCATTTTTCGCTTTTACACAGTTACATTTTCACTTCCATATGCAACAAAATGACTGTGGTTTGTTGTAAAGGAATCGCACTGCAGCATTAGCAGGCTGAGGGAGTATCAACTTAATGGAAGGAAAGGAAAGGAAGAAGGAAACACAATTGCATAGTACCACCTTACAATGGCTCCCACCATCACAAGACAAGTCTGTATGAATCAGTGTTTGAATTTGTTCATTTAAGCTTTGGATTCTATAGAAGTATCATATATTTTTTATTGTGTTTTGTTCTGTGTCTCTTTGCTAAATTTTTGGCAGTGTTTCTCTTGCTGTCAGGTAAAATAACTGAGGTCAGGCTCTTTCGTGAACCTGCTATTCATCCCTGTACCTCTGCACCACCTGGTTCAGCTGCAGAAGGCTGACAACCAGCAGGAGAGAGAAGATGGGTGTTGTGATCAGAGCCAAAGGCATGATGGCAGGAGAGAAGTCAGGAGAGATGAGATGAGGAGAAGCGATAAGGATGAAACAGAAGCATAAGAGAGGAGGAGGCACAGGAAAAACCGGGCAAGGTGGCACATATTTGTTCAACATAGAGATCTATTTTCTGGACTATTGGTGCTGTCTTGATTTCAACTACTTTTTGTGCATTTAAAATAACATTTAAACCAGTTACAGAACACTCAGTTGATTTGTTTATTGGATTTGAGTTTGGCCTTTGTGTACTTTCTTCTGGTCTGATCTCAACAAGAACTGGTCTCTATATTGACTTGTATTTAATTCAAGTGGTCATAATTGCAGCCCTACAAAATAAGAAACAAACCTGAAGATGTAGAGGAGAGCAGAGCGAAGAGAAAGAAAGGCTAACTGATCCTGAAAGGTTGGGGGTGGGCTCACAGCGGTCAGAAAAACCCAGAGGTCAGGTCATGGTGTGTGAAACGTATGGCTATCATCACAGAGCTGACCTCCTCAGCACAATGTCCCACATTTCACTAATGATTTTGTCACCTTAATACCCTGCACAAAATCCAGCTTCCTGCTTCCACTCTGCCTTTTGCTCCTTCGCTCAGACCTTGTGGTTTTGTGTGGTGTATACACAGCTTCTCTGAGTTTCTGATATTAAAGAGCTGTTTCACTGTTGAACCAAGAGATCAGATAAGATTTATACTTCAATATCATTTGCTTGTCGGCACTGTAATGGAGTTGATCACCTTCAGTAACTTGACTGGTTCTATTTAAGCAATAAATAAAATTTGTTTACATGTTAGTAAATGCAGCAGCTTTTAATGGTGTTTAACATTGATTACATGAGGTCCGCACACAATTAAGGATGACTCCTGACAGGCAGGACCTGTATATCCATGATATACAGTGGTGTGAAAAAGTGTTTGCCCCCTTACTGATTTCTTATCTTTTTGCATGTTTGTCACACTGTAATGTTTCAGATCGTCAAACAAATTTATATATTAGTCAAAGATAACACAAGTAAACACATCATGCAGTTTTTAAATGAAGGTTTTTATTATTAAGGGAAAACAAAATCCAAAACTATAGAGCCCTGTGTGAACAAGTGTTTGCCCCCCTGTCAAAACACTGGTTTATCGCACCTGAGTTCAATTTCTCTTGCCACACCTGTTCGCAATCAAGAAATCACTTAAATAGGACCTGCCTGACAAAGTGAAGTAGACCAAAAGATCCTCAAAAGCTAGACATCATGCCGAGATCCAAAGAAATTCAAAAACAAATGAGAAAGAGAATAATGGAGCTCTATCAGTCCGGAAAAGGTTATAAAGCCATTTCTAAAGCTTGGGGACTGCAG